GGATTCTCTCCCTGGCTTGGGGAGAGGAGTAGCTCTAGTGTTTAGAGTGGGGGGAAGGAGGATGAGGGAGCCTTGGTCCTGTCCCTGACTCCCTCCATCATGCCTGAGTTTCCCCCACTGACAAGGGGAAACTGGCTTTGCAGGCCCATGTTTAATGCTGGCATTGTTCCCCCCCTTGAATTACAGACTCTGTTGCAGCCCAGGGTGAGCAGCATAGAAGATATCGTATCAAGAAAGCCAGGCCAGGGTAAGCTCTCGTCCCCCTAGATCTGGCTGCTGGGGGACACTTCAAAGGGGCAGTGTGAATCCCCCTCCTCTGGGTGGCTGAGGGAATGGGTGATACCAGGTGGGATGGGTTTATAGGTCTGACCTCCAGATACCAAGCTAGACTCCCTAAGTGCCTGCACTGTGGGGAACCCCCTCTGGGGCACCGTGTCTCTATGACTTATTCAGCTTCCAGTCACTGGGGCAAGAGGGCTCCAAGCCGTGGGTGAGACCCAGCAATCTCATCTCATCCACATGCCACTCCCTGCTGTGGGTTGCTGGCAGTGGTGGGATTTTCCTCCCATCATGAGGAAAGAGTCCTATTGCTGGAGTCCTATGGAGGTTTCTCTCTCCACTTACAGAGGGGCAGAAGGCCACGAAGCTGGAGGATGATGAGGCCATCTTGGCTCAGCTCATCAAGAACATGGAAGTCAGCAAGAGGTGAGGGGGACCCCATGGCACAGCCTCTCCCGTCTACCCTGTATGGGTAGCCAACATGGAACACGCCCCAGTGGGGAAATGGGCCCCTCCAGTCAGCTCAGTGGGTCTATCCAACCTGGTGTCCCCACATCCAATCTAGGGGCCCATCACACCCACAGGCAATGTTCCCTCTTCACTTTTTCCACCTGTGTGCAGAATACATTTGTTATGTGCACTGAGGCATGTGCACCACTAATAGATGCCCATGCTTCCAGCTGTGGGTGCTCTGCTAATCAGCCAGGTGACACCTGAATCTCTCCTGGGCAGCCACCCAAGCACTCAGTTTACAGAGAACACTGCCCACAGGCCCATCTGGCCTGGTATCCCACCCATCAGACCTAGGGGCCCAACTGCCCTGGGTCTCCCCACCCATCACAGGCCCATCCAGCCTGGTAGCCCCTCTCGCATCAGATCCACAGGCTCATCTGCAATGCTATCCCTCACCACAGGTCAGTTCCAGGGGGCCCTGGCAGGAGGGATTCTGTAGGCAACAACCCTAAGAGAAGCAGGCCCCGACCAATTTTCCCTCTAATTTTCCATGTTTGGAATAAATGTTTGCACACGAGGCATGTGTAGATGTGTACCATCAGTAGGAACACATGCTGCTGGTTGTGGATGCTCTATTAGCTGGGTGGCATTTGCCTCTCTCCTGGGCGGCTGCCCAAGTACTTGGCTTCCAGGGAACGCTGGCCCTGACCCAAGGGAGGTCACTGTCCCACCTCAGCAGGGAGAAGCAGCTGCTCTTCACCTACCTGCAGCAGATGGCATCCATTGAGCATCTCCAGCAGAAGTTCCGCTCCCAGGCTGCCACTACCGATAAGATTATTGACAGCTTCTTTGAGGTGGGGGATACCAGTATTAGGTATGGGGAGGGAGCGGCCGAGGGGCCTGCGCCAGGAGGAGGAGGGAGGGTTATTAGGCTGGTGGGGCCCAGGGGTCTGGGCCAGGAGGAGGGAGGGATACTGGGCTGGCAAATCCCAGGGATCTGATTTCAAGTAGCAGCAAAGGGAGCAGGACACAGGGTATGATGGACCTAAAGCTAGGAAGCCATCAGTAGCCACTGTGCTGCCAACGGCAGCTGTCCAGGACCACTGGGGTGGGGCTCAGTTTGGGGGACCCCCAGGTGCCACAAGCTCCATTGCAGAAGGCACCATGCTGCCTTGTCCACACTGGCAGGGATCAGCAAGGGAACTCCAGGGGCCCAGGATTCTACTTGCTCCCCTCTGTTGCTTGCAGACTGCTGAGCAGGACTTTTCCCGCCGCTGAAGAGGTCGGGTTGCCCCTGCGGTGGGGAAGGATGTGCCCAGAGGCCCCGGCACTGTGTGAGGCTAGCCAGGCCCCAGATCCAGCCCTCACCCAGAGATGGCCATGGCTGTCATTAAAAGGTTCCTGGCCCCCAGCATGCAGGGAAATGGTGTGTGCAGACTAGTGAATGGGAGGGGAAGGATGCCAGGCCACCCACGTCTTCCCCCTGCTTGGGGCCCTGCACTCGTAAGATCTTGCCCCAGCTCTGACGCTGCTCCAAAGTACTCTGGCTTCTGCCCTCCCTGAACATGTGGCATGCAGAAGATCAGTGACAGGTCCCTGCAGCCCCTGGCCTAGACAGATGAGCCAGTAGGGAAGCATTTCTAAGGGCCAGCACTGCAGCCACTCAGCCTGCCCGCCCTGGGGGAGGTCACCACCTGTCCAGGGATCCCTGTTAAACCAGTCGCAGGGGCTTTGGGAACCTCACAGAGGCCAACTGAGGTCAGTGGCTGGGAGCGATGCCAGACAGATTTAGAGGGGAGTGAGGGGCAGAGGTTTAGCAGTGAGGGGGATGCCCCTGGAATGGTCCATCCCCTGTGGGCTGTACACCTAGACTGTGCAGCTCTAA